CAAAAAAAAAAAAAAAAAAAACTAATTACCATACAAAAAAAAATATTAGTATTTATAGAAAATTACAAAAGTAGCCTCTCATAAATTCTAACGAAGTTATTGGGATTTAATTATAATAGTTGAAGACAGAGTATAGCTCCGTAGAAATTCTACCATTTTTAGAATTTAGAATGTAGTTTGTATTCTATTTAAATGTTATGAACATTAATATCGGACTTTCCATCCCATTTGTGTTTTTCAAACTTTCAATCACACTTTTGTTTCTCATTCTTACTTGCACAAAATTACTTGAACCGTCACGAGTAACTTTTTAGTAATGATATATATTTTTTTTAATCATATCCGAAATAATATGAATTTTAAAAAAGAATTTATAATTAGTTAAAAATATTTTAGAAAAAAACAATCAATTTATGCTAATTAGTCGAGAAAACTATAGATAAAAATAATTACCATCTATTTATTTGATGTTATTTTTTACATTTAAATAATATTATGTACAGATAATATTCAAACATTGAGAGTTTATTTCTATTTAATAATTTAAATCGACAAAGATTTAAAGCAATAAAATTATTTATTTTACTTCTTAAATGGTATTAATAAAATAAAATAAAATAAAAGGAGTGCACACGATTATGTCCGATAAATCGACCAACATGAAATTTCGGGTTGGTTAGGTTGAGCAACTCGAATAGAGTTCTCGACCATTTATTTTCGAGTTGGGTTGGATTGTCTTATTATTTTTATAATTATTAAAAAAAACCATATCACTCTAAATGTTTCATTAACTCTATAAAATTTAAATATTAAATATTTATAAATTAGAATTTATTAACCTTGATTACAAACATTAAATATTCTTTTTTTTAAATAGGGTACGATTAGGTTAAGTTATAGCCTCATTTTTAGATTGTTATGTGATTGACCAACTAAAAAATGTCAACTTCAAATCAGACCAAACTTTTTCGATTTTTCAAAAATTCAACTCAGTCTAAATTGAAAAAAAACAAAAAAAAACATCTAATTCAACCAACTCTTCTTATAATTGGGGCGGAAAAATGTAGGTTGGTCAGACGTGAACATGAACAAAAGTATATATATATACACACACGCATATATATATATATATATATATATATATATATATATATATATATATATATATATATATATATATATATGTATGCGCGTGTGGAAGTATTCTCCACTTTTATATTTATATTGGAAGTATTCTCCACTTTTATATTTATATTTTTATTATTGTTGTTATAAAAGACCTACCAAACTTACCATTAATTTAATTTATTTAATAGAACTTCTGCCCTCCCCGAGATAATTACTATATAATAAAAAATAAAAAAAAAAAGTATTTTTTTATTTAGACCAATTCTTGATAAAAACATTAAAAAGTATTTTTATTTATTTATTAATTCTTACTTTTTTATTTAGACCAATTCTTGATAAAAACATTATATTTATTTATTTATTAATTCTTTTTTTTTTATTTAGACCTTGATAAAAACATTAAATTTTATAATTTTGGAAAAGATTAAGGAATAACCAAAATATTTGTTATTTAATTAAAATTTTAAAAATTAAATTTCAAAATCCATCTTTGGTAATAAGTAATTGATATGTTGCCAAATTTATTAAAACAATTTAAAAATTCCTTAATTTTTTTTTTTAATCTCTAAACATTTAAAATTTTATTTTATTCACATCTCTCTATTCATAATATATTTCTTTTAGTTTCTAAATTTAATTTAATCCTTAAACTATCTCTCAAGTGTAAAAAAATATGTATTGGGTACATAAAATTTTGCAAAATAAACAAAAAAAAAAAAAAAAAAAAA